GGCTATCAAACTTCCGTTGGCCAAAGATGAAGAAATCAAGTACGGTATTACAAGTATTGCAAGTACTGTATAACAAAAGTAAGTAGGTAGAGATTAATTTATCTGAACCAAAACTAGTTATAAAAAAGTAAATGATTGGGTTCCATCTAAATAATAATTCTTTTTGCAATTCACGGTTAAGCTTCGATACAGATTGTTTTGGTAGTAAACTAAAAAGTAGGTACAAAGCCTTAGCATTTGTATACAACCTTTGGGAACTTAGCGATGTCGGTGCCTACGATGCGACGCATCGACGGGCGGGGCTGCGCTGCGCGGATGCTTTAAGAAGCCTGCACGCGCTCTCTTTGCCGACGCCCCACACTACATCAGTTCGTTAGTCGACTAACCAAATATATATTTATAAACCTTAAAAAAACATACTAAAATTTTTGTTTTAAACATTTTGCGTATTTTATTTGGACAAAATATATAGAGGGTAAAACAAAATTGTGTACTCTAAAACATAAACATTATACAAAAAGTTAAAATGTTATATTTCTTTGGATATAGTTTTTTAAGAAAATCTGTAGTAAAAAAGTTGTAAATAAATTAATTATAAATAATACAAATCAAATTTCACTACGATGGCATGCGTAGAATTTGAATTATATCCAGTAAAGTGAACTACTGTAATATCCAGGTTTGGAGGGGGTTAGAGTGGGTTGGGGGGGGAGAGAATCGGGAACTTTTTGAAAATCACGTCTTAATAACACTTATATACCAATCACACCACTCACATATAAAAAACTCAGTTTTCCACTATTTAGCTACGAAAAAGGCGGTTTGTGCGTTTATTGGCTGGGCTAGATGCGATGACGCAGCGCAGAGGTGTTAACTGTTCAACTAGCGCGCACGCGCTCTCTTTGCCGACGCCCAGCACTTTACCCGGTCACCTAGATGACTAACCAATAATATATTTGTAAACCTTGAAAAACGTACTAAAACTTTTGTTTGAGCCATATTTGCGTATTATTTCTATTATTAAAAGTATACACAGAGAAAAACAAAATTTTGCACTCTGAAACAAAAAAGCTTTTAATTAAGATTAAATTTTATATCTCCCTAAGTGTTGGTTTTAGAAAAATGTTACAAATAAAAAAGTTGTAGGAAAACTAATAAAAAATAAAACAAAATTGCAGCTCGATAGCTTTCATAGCATTCGAATTATGATCAATTAAGTAAAACACTGCAATTTCTAGGTTTGGAGGGGGGTGGGAGGGGAAGCTCAAGGGGTAGAAGTGGGGACTTTTGGGAAAATACACCTCTCATGTGGTTCTGTCACATATAAAAAATCCAGCTTTCCACCAATTAGTTGCGAAAAAGGGTGTTTTATTGCATTCATTGACTGGGGTAAGTAGTTTCTTTCAACAGTTGCAGTGGCGAACTGTGCAATGTGATTTGCGAAAGTGTTTCGTTGTCTTTTTGTTTACTTTTGATTTGGATTTTGACTTGAGCTGCTTGAAAAGTCAAGTGTTAATGAAATGAAATGAAATGCTTTTATTTTCCATTAGGCATGAAATGCAATAGGCATCTTCAAAACAAATAACAATATACAACTTTCATAGAAGAGTGAAAATTTAAAAACGTACGTTTTCAGGAAAAGCACTTTGCAAATTTGTTTCCCCTTTTTTCAAAACTTTTATTATTATTTTTATTTCATTAACATTTGAAGTTTCATAAAATGTCCATGGTAACGCAATATCTTTGGTATTTTTTTTTTAAGAGCATCTTTAGTGGAAAAACACAAAATCCTGTCACGACCATAACAGACATTTAAATTAATATTTAAAATAGTTAATATTATTTTTATAACTATGTTTTGCTATAAACTAATTTACTTTTATGACCATTATACATTAAAAAGGTCACTGAGCTTTTGGTATATTTGGTCTTTCTAGAAAAAATTAAAAAAAACTCAAAAACTTGAAAAAAAAGCCAATAAAATCTTTTTAAGTTTGTATAACTCCGAAAAAACTTACCTGAGACCCGAAAAATCGTTATGTTTGTATAGAGGTGTGCTTCTTTTGTGTATAAAACATTGAAATATGACGATATTTTAATTTTTGAATTTTTTATGATAGAAATCATAAACGTGATGGTCAGGGACAAGCGGTACGGTCGTGAATTTTCTGAAATAATCTAAATCTTTCTAAACAATCCTTCAATTATACTGTTAGTTATAAAAAAATAAGTGTTTCAATTGAACTAAACTGTTCAAATTACAATTATATTAAAGTTATTGTCACGACCAAACACACTATAATCCATAAGCCTGGATTGGTCGTGAAAAAACCCGCGATGGTCGTGAAACTTTGGTCGTGAAATTACGTGTTATTCGGCGCTGTTCTGGCGGTAGCCCTGCACCTCATGTTCGAGGATACAAAGTGGACTTCTAGGTTAATCTAGCAATTGAAATATCTTATAAACAAAAATTAACACCATGTCTACTTCATCGAATGACTACTTACGGTCATGGACACACCAAAATTACAAAAAACACAATCTTTCCTTTATTAATCTTGTAATTCCTCCTTTCAACTCGAAACGACCGGCACTACAATCCTGACGTACACCCCGAACTAGTCTCTAAAACCAACTGACTCTATCAACGCCAGGCTTGCCACTGTCGTGCTCCAAAGTTGAAAATTTTTCCCAAATGGTCGTGACGCCAAATCGAGGGACAGACTTATTTTGTCATGGTAGTCAGTTTGCATAGACAATAAAATTATAATATGCTCCTTTTTTGTAAGTTTAATAACCATTGATGACATAAAAATATGGCTTTATATATTTCGGCATGAATAATTAGTCTAAAAACAGGGTGAAAGTTGGAAAATTTACCCTAGGGACACGTCATGGTCGTGAATTTCGAGACTTTAAAAATACGAAAAAAATACCTAGAACCTATTTAAAACCAAATAAATGTGTGTAACATGTTGCCCCCGTCCCAAAAAATATTAAAACACATAATAATAAACTAAAAATCCAGTATCTACGAAGTAAAAGGCCAGGGACATGAAAACGTACGTTTTTAAATTTTCACTCAGAAATTAAAACTAAAATGCAAAAATCACACAGCAAACAAAACCAAAAGCAAACCATGCACAAAACTACTGTCACTAGTGTCACTGTCAAAACAAAAACAAAAACAATCTATTACTTACATTACATTGGAAAAACTCTCACAGTCTCCTTTGGAATGTTGAAGAAATCGCTGGTTTTTGTGCGCATGCGCAAGCTGAGATCCCTTGGGTACTTAAGAAGGGTACAGACTACAGATTAGGCCCCAACACACTACCAGACCAGACCTCCAAACCAGACCGTCTGGTCTGGCGTCTTATCTGGCGTCACTTGTCTTATCGTGTGTGGGGCTGTCTGCAGACCGATTTTTTCGGACCAGACTGTTTGCGTGTCTGATGGTTGAACCCTCAGACCACAGACGGTCTGAGGTTCCCCCACCACTATTTTTGTCTGGTCTGTGAGTGTGTAGCACTGTCTGTCAGACGGCAGACCGTCGCGCCAGTCTTTATCCATTCGTTGGAGTTCTCACCACGGTGTCTTAATTTCGAATATTGGAATGTCTGGTCTGGGAGTGTGTTGAGCCGCCCAAGACGGTCTGGTTGCAGCCAGACGGTCTGGTCTGGAGGTCTGGTCTGGTAGTGTGTGGGAGGCTTAAGAGACTAAGACCACAGACAATGGAATAAGGGTCAACATTGTGCACTTTTTCCTGATGCGAGTTCCTATCAACCATATACACTTTGCCATATAACTTGGTAATTTAGGGGACTGCATCAATCATTTACTCATACTGATTATTCTACACATTGTATATCACATTAGAATATCTCAAAGTTGATGTGATGGACTTAGGGAAAAGATTGTGCACTTTTTCCTGATGCGAGTTCCTATTAACCATATACATTTTGCCATATAACTTGGTAATTTAGGGGTCTGTCTCAATCATACTTATACTGATTATTCTACACATTGTATATTACCATTAGAATACCTCAAATTTATGTGATGGGCTTAGGAAAAAGATTGTGCACTTTTTCCTGACGCAAATTCCTATCAACCATATAGATTTTGCCTTATAGCTTCGTAAATTTACTGGACTGCCTCAATCATATTTATACTGAGTATTCTACACATTGTATATTACCATTAGAATAGCTCAAAGTTGATGTGATGGGCTTAGGAAAAAGATTATGCACTTTTTTATGTTCGGAGTGTTAATTGATCGCGTTATGTTAAGCCATAGCTACGTATAATGTACAGTACGGTCTCAAATATGCCTTTTAAAACAAGTCAATTAATTAGTTTTAACGTGTATACACGTTTTATCAAGGTATAATTGACATTATATAAATATAAAAACATCATTTCACACCGTATTGTCATTGAATTGCGTTTCCGACATCCCTGCAAAACACATTTGTGGCCTCCGCAAACGCAGGCGTACCAACCCATATCTATTACAAACCGAAAAAGTGCCGATGAAAAGAGCCCAGTGCCATAGATAAAACATACTCCCTTAGTAGATTTCCCATCCTTATGGAACAGCTGAAGCCAATTTTATTGTTAGTTCTGTCCGTTTTTCTGTAGAGGTCGTGTTTTGTTTACAATTTGTTTCCCATTATTACAGCCATTTAAAACCTCGTTTAACCAAATAATACGATCTAATCATAAACAATAACTTGTCCCCTAGTTATACAACCAAACAGTAAAGCACAAATCAAGAAATTAACCCTAAAATAATATAAACAAAGTTTCGTTGACACTAGCGCCTTTGCGTCACGTACATGAACTAGACACGAAAAACGTGCTTCAAAATTTACAATGGGATGAGAAGTCTACTTGTGTTGGTTAGTCTATGCCAGTGCTAACCTCACGACGGTCGTCTCGTTCCGTCTAATTATATTGTATTGTGTTTGTGTATGTGTAGTGTCACAGATAATATAACCTCTGTTGTAGTTGTAGTGTTGTGGCACGGCCTCCTTGCTCCTTGTTGTGTTGTTCGTTGTAGGAGTGTAGGACTAATAATATTGGGAATCTTTTAAGAGATTAAAGAGATAAAATTAGACTATTTTATTCGGAACTTATTTGCCACTAACTTTTACAGCTTTAGTTATAATTTAATTATACATCATTAGCAATTTTAGCTGTCAAAGCTTTCAGTGCTTTATTCTAGGTTAGGCCTAAACTTATAGACAAGTGAAGATCATAATGCCTAAGTATTACTGTGATTATTGTGACACCTATCTTACTCATGATTCTCCTTCAGTGAGGAAAACCCATTGCCAAGGTAGGAAACACAAAGATAATGTAAAGTTTTACTACCAGAAGTGGATGGAAGAACAGGCTCAACATCTTATTGATGCAACTACAGCTGCTTTCAAAGCTGGTAAGATTGCCTCGAATCCATTTGCCAACACTAAAGGTGCAGCAATACCTCCCCCAAATATGAATATGACACCTATGGGACCAATGAGACCACCCGGACCGCCCCAACCAGGTCCAGGCCCAATGATGCCAGGTCCTCCTGGAATGCATCCTGGTATGGGACCAATGATGATGCCTCATGGACCGATGCCACCAATGATGGGAATGCCAAGACCGCCTATGGGCCAAATGATGGGACCAATGATGCCTATGGGGCCAATGGGTCCCATGGGCCCTATGCGACCTCCTTTAATTCAACCTATGCAAATGAAAAAGTAAGTTACCTATCTAATTAAGTAAGGGAATAATAATTAGGCCTACTAAGTTTAGTGTAAGTTAAGTTACCTGTTTCTCGAATTCAAGCAATTTCAAAGTATTACAGGCATTATTTAAAAACTAATAGGCCTACAGTCATAATTTCTGATGGCTAAAATTGTCAACTCAAACATTATGGAAATATTCACGATGTACATAATTTAACAGTTTGATATTAATCAACATGTCTTGTACAAATAGGCCTATCTTATCATTTTTTAAAAGCTGATCTTGTTTTTTAGTATTTTCTACAAGGCAGAGGATACACGTCCGGTAACCGGACGTGGATTAGATGTCCGGCAGTTAACTTACTGTCATAGCCTAACCTAACTGACAGGGCCGGATTTCCCAATAGGCCCGGTAGGCCCGGGCCTATGGGCGCATGGTCCCAGAGGGCGCACGGCCGAGAGTAATTTTTTTATACCTAGGCTCCCTAAAATAAAAAGTCATAGGCCTAGTTGATAAAAAAAACTCCAAATCATTGTGATTCTGAATTTCATAAGAAGAAATAATTGTTAGGAAATGTAAGTTAATCTATTTTCAGAATCACGCATCAATTTCATTACAAAATTTGGAAAGGTCAAAGAACATTGGTTATACGGGAGTAGGCTCTAGGGATGTTGACGATGACGAGCGCCCAAGGGGTATGCATGCTGGCTCGGGCTCGGTACTATTGGTCAGATTGATTAGGGGCGCATGCGTGCTAGACATCACTCTCACCTCAAAAGTTAAGTCTTTTGATTAGTTTACAACAATCTGCAGGATCAAGTTAAAATATATAGGCTAATAAGTTGTGTTGAATATCAAATCAACGATGTCCTTACCTTTCAAATTAACGAAAAAATATTAATCTCAGTTTGCATTAGATTTTAGAAAAATTCAATACCCTCCAAAACATCAGTACTTAATGCTGTCATTTTCTCCTCAGACCTATGTAAGGTCGGTACGGTTAGCCGGAATATTGCTCTGTTTTGCTTTGGAAACCACTCTGCATATTTAATCTAGATGCAGTACGACCATATATCAAATATTACTCAAGTCGGCTTCTGATGACATTGTTTATTCAAATTTTTTGTTATGTCTAGTTCATGTTGGTGAAACTGTACGTTAGTTTTGACGTAATTTTAGTAAAATAAACAGGAGACGACATATTTTTAATCATTAGACCGTTTTATTTTGGATAAACTAGGTTTAAACATAGATAAAACATACTCCTTAATCAAAATAACAAGAATTGTTTTCAGCTAATCCAAAATGATGACAAATCTACTAAAGGAGCAGGTTTAATCTATGGTATGACGTACTGTATGGAGTTCATGTTTTTTGGGCCCGGAATTGGAATCAATGGCCATGTATTTTTTGCAGGAATGCTCCTGGTCGTTGAGTTTTTTCTTTCAGTCAGTCCCACCACGGCCACAAACGTGAGCATTTATTAAAAGCATAAAATTGCTAAATAACGTGTTTAAGACGGCATTTTGTTAAGGCTAAACAAGTCAATTCTTAAAAAAAACTTGCTCTGATTTTAAAGAGGAGTGTTATTCAAGCAGTTAACTTAGGCCTATGGGAATTATATAGTTTTTAATAAAGATTTGAAGAAATGTGACCAGACTAGGGGGCGGAAAATTATTTGGGCCTAGGGGCGCAAAAATGCTAAATCCGGCCCTGCTAACTGACCAAACTTGATGATAATGAAAATTTGAATGAAGGTTAACCCTAGGAGTGGCGAGACCGATTTTCAGTATGTGCTTCGTGGAGTGGCACGCTCATTTTGGTGAATTTGTAACTTAAGGGAGTTCTTCAAAAATCTGTATAAAATTAGTACCGTAACTTAAGTTATGTAGAGATAAACTATTGAACCGTATATTCATTTTGTTCGTAATAGTCAGTAGAATTAAAAAATGGTAATACAAACCAATTTTAGAATGGTAGATTTTTAGAAAAAAGTAGGTAAAAAAAGAAAATTTATAAATTTTTAAAATTTTATTTCAAAAGCAAACACGTGTCACATGTAACGTAATTTTTTATTGCACAATTCAAAATACTGTAAGCATTTTGTTCAGAATTTATTCCTCTACATAGACAAATCATAATATACACAAAATAATTATTTTTTAGATTTACTAGCAATAATACGGAAAAGCTGGAAAACGTCAATTTCTTCAACTACACGTTGATAGATCCACAAATGCCCTCTACTAATAAATCAATATGATAAAACCATACGTTTTTTTAAAGCCAATAATATCATTCTATATAAGAATAACTAAATAAGATAAGTAATAGAATATTTGGTTTTCACAAAAGCAAAAATGTAAACAAAACAACTGATCAGCTGTTATTGGCCACAAAACTTCACTAACTTTTTATCCTATTTTGGATCACAAAAATGTATAAATATTTATGCAAAATAATGCATAAATATTTCGCCTGATACTAAATAATAAACTAAAACGAACATTACACTGTAAAATTAGGGATAAAACCCAAACGTCTTCTTTGTTATCGGACAAAAACTCACGACGACGCCGCCATTTTAGGTTAGACGATGACAAGTGTTCTGTTCCTTTAGCTTTGAAAAATCAAAAGCTTCTATTTGTGTGACCAGCCTAACAACATTGAATTCTACTGTCCTTCGTCCACAAGAGCGTAATAAAACAACGTTTTTGTACTTTTCACATTGTATATGCGATTTAGAAATCGACATATTATGTCGATCCGCCACATGAACAATATGTAAAAATAGGCTATTTACAAAAATTGTTCATCAGCTGTTGGAATGTATTATGATGTTATACTTTATACAGAATAAAAGATTACTTCATGCTTGTTGCAGTGAGTACCACTTGCTTTTGTCAGAGACAAAAATTACGTCTGCTATTTATTTTTGAAATGACTCATCTTTTACGATTGCGCAACAAAACATGGCGTTCGCGAGTTTGCGTGTATTTTTCGTTTAAATGTAGGTAACTCATTATAATAGACAATTCTTTTTTTGACAATAGACAATTCTTTATTCCGTTAAACAATATACATTGCAATAGGAAAGGTCAATACAATTTAAACTATAATACAGTCATCGTTTTGTAGACGTTTTGTAAACAAAAGTTTTACAATCTAAAAAATCTTTGGTAGAGAAAAAGGCATTTGCTTTAAGGAGTACAGAGATGGCTGACTTAAATTTGACATAATTGAGATTTCTTAATTCTAGTGGTAACTTATTGTATAACTGCAACTGTGATACAAATGACAATTCAAGGTTTTACTTAGCCTAACATGGGGGGGGGGGGGGGTGGACAGATCATTTATATTTCTGGTTAAGTGTACATGAGAGGAAGCTTGTGTAGAAAATGAGTTGATGTTTTGTTTTACATGGAGGAGGTTACTAAAAATATACAAAGAAGGCACAGTCATAATGTTTAGTTCTACAAAACTAGCTCTACAACAACCTCTAGAGGCAAGGTTAGCAAGTACTCTGATGGCTTTTCTCTGCCATCGAAAAACTTTGGTTACATGGGGGGAATTTCCCCAGAGACGGATGCCATAACTAATGAGTGAATGAAATAGACCATAATAAGTGGTAATCAAAGTATCCAGGTTTACAGACAATTTAAGTTTACGTAACAAGCCAACTACACGAGATAGTTTTTTACACAAATTAAGAATATGTGGTTTCCAGCTTAACTTGGAATCTAAAGTGAACCCCAGAAGTTTAACATCACTACTTACATAATCAGGAACTTGCTTGAGAGAGAAATAGATCAATTCAGTCTTTTCTTCATTTATAATTAAGTTGTTGGCTTTGAACCAAGATTTGGCACAAGTAAGAGCTTGAGACAAGTTCTGTTTTACATTATCAAATTCCAAATCTGAACACATTAATGTTGTGTCGTCCGCATAAAATACTGAAAAGGTTGGAACATTACAATACAAGTCATTTACATATATAAGATACAAAAAAGGTCCGAGAACGGAACCTTGCGGAACACCTGCTGATACATCAAGGTGTTAAGATCGATATAGGCTATTTATGTTATAAGGTTCATTCTTATAATAAAATGAAACTTTGGAATCTTATCTTTCCATTGGTATAAGAGTTATGTCATTTCACCGACTTTAAATGTGCTTAACATGCAACTGAAAAAAACGTTACATAAATCGACATATTCTGTCGCCCGCCACTCCAGCGGCTTATTTTGAAATCGACATTTTCTGTCGATCTGCCACTCCTAGGGTTAAATTCTGTTCATAAAATAAAATTATAAATGTCTCAAATTCTAACAAAAGATTTACTGGTACAGTGTAGAAGAAATGGCATTCTAAGCAAAATCTTTGACAAAAAGAGAGTCGTCACCAATAAGATTCAATAGCTACAGTACACTCCCTCTTATCCGGACTCCTCGGGACCGAGGCCAGTCTGGATAACGGGTTTTCCGTTTAAACCGACGTCCCCAAAAACTTGTTAAAACGGACTGTTTACTGTGAAATTCTACTTAAATTTAGGAGAGCATTGTACTTAGACGTACGTGATCACTGGTCTCAAATCTTTCCCACAAGAACAGTCGTTTCAGTACTGCCCACTTCCTGCCAATCTAGTCCGGTTAAACCAATGTGCTGATAAAAATTGTTCGGTTAAAGAAATGTCATTTCCGCAGAGTGTAGTCTGGTTAAACCGATGTCCGGTTAAAAGGTCTCCAGATAAGAGGGAGTCTACTGTTAGTTACCTCTTGTTCATCAGCCGACTGCTCTCCACTACACTACAAACACTGGCTGTACATCACATCGTATAGTTGTGGTAATGGTGTTCCGGGCCCCCATAAAACGATGGCATCACTGCCAGACGCCTAATCCACGTTCGGTTACGGGACCCGTATCCTCTGTGTTTCTACAAATGTTTCCCACTTATAGCCGCATTAGGTTTCCCATAATAACGATTATAAATTAAAAAAAACTTATTTCTCTT